GATCCTGGGGGTTAGCGGGGAATCCATCACGCTCCTCGATGAACTTGGCGACGCTGTCACGGATGATAGGGGCACCCTGGCTGTGACTGTAGGCACCGACGCTCTGGACATCGGCGAGAAGGATCTTGGCCCGGTCGATGACATCCTGCTGGTAGCCGAACGACGTACGGAGAGCCTCGGGGTTCTCCAGCAAGGAGGGGTTCTCGAGAAGACTGAGGACCTGACGGAAGAAGCTGATGGGCTTCTGGTCCAGTTGCTGAGGGTTGCCAATGTTGGCGAAGATGACACTGTCGAAAGGCAACGACTTGTCTCCCTGAGCCAACTTCACACGGTATTCCTCGGCCTTGACGGCCAGCTCACCACGGACGGCATATTTGGCGGCCTTGACGTGGGGGTTGATGTTGTCCAAGTTGAGACGACCGCCGGAGGAGGCGGTCAGGGTGCGCTTAGCAGTGAGGGTGACGGTCATAGTGGACTCTGTGATGGTCGTAGGGTATGATTAGCTCACTGACCCTTTGTAGGACGAGAACAGAGGGTCTCTGCCCAGATGGCGGAGTAGGTTCCATTTGTATGGGAAGTATACGGGGGACCGGATGTCACAAGATCGGGGCTAGCTGGAAGAGGCCGTCTGACAATCGGAACATGGGGAAGGGGGGGGGGGGGGGGACACATCCAATGACCAGCAGCAGCACGGGAGGGGGTGAAGTAAAAAGAAACAAAAAAAGACTCACCCCTCTGCAAAGTGCCGGCGGGTAAGACTGCCTTGGAGGAGAAATGGCGCGGGCCGTTCTGATGGCACGACAGCCAGGCACCATTCGGCCGGGAAACAGCGCATCGCAGCGGAGTTGCCCGCAGTCGAGAGGCGAGCTTAATTTGCCAGGTCATTATGTCGGCTCTCTTGCTCCAATATGTCGGCCAATTGCACGATTATGCCTTCTCCACCGTGGGGGCTAGCGGGGAGACGTCGTGACAGGGTGCTCCTTGAAGCAAAGAGAAAGGCAAGGCCGTCTGATAGGCCGACAATGAACAGAAAGAATGCCTGATCGTGGGCCGGAAAGCAGATCCCAGACGGAGAAAAAAAGCAGAAATCCACGAGGGAAATCCCACGGGGCGGTGAGCAGATGACTCAGCTGGTTCCCTCACCGGGTCAGGAACCGTTCCTTTCCTTTTACGTGAAGGGCATTGTCAGAAAGGAAATGATCGTGTCGATTCTATGCATGGAGACTTGATCTATCGACTGGCAAATGTGTACACTGTACAGATGGGCGTCGCACTGCGTACTCTTCGGTGGCTTGAGGCTAGGCGGCTGAGGACTGCGTTACACCCATGTCTGCTATGGTTGGTCCAATGAAGACCAGTCATCCCCATGATCCCACACGCTCTCCGGAGCCTCCCGAACTTCGGCTCGGGTACGGAGTATCTACTTGACTAGAAAGATAGGCTCTACGACTTGCCTGGTTCTACCATATGTCGGTGGGAATAGCTTTGGCCCACTACCCACAACTCGCCGATTTCTTTGAGGTCATGTTGTCTTCAGGTCATTATATGTATGATACAGCAGCCTCACGTGTCTGGACGCTCGCAGTGTCAATGGTCAACGGTGTCAAAAGATGTATAAATCACTGAGTCTCTCATCTAGCGAGTCATAAACCATGTCTGGTGAGTCAAGATCAGACCATTCCTTCCCTAGCAAGAACCCCCTAGCTCCGTTCGCTTCCTCGCAACCGCACGGCTTGTCCGTACTTTTGCAGTTTCGTAATCAGAGCGTCGCCGTGCTTCACAACATCCGCGTACTGCTTGTTCTTGTCGTCCGGTCGGTTCGTCTCAATGATGCCATTGACCCGGTCGATGGTGCATGCAATCCGGTTGCTGGCGATGAATTTGGCAAGATCCCTGTAGTTGTCAGTCAATGCAACCTAACAAGCAATGCTTCAGTGGCAGACTTACCGATCCAGGTAGTCTACGGTGACGCCGAAGTCGCTGGCCATGCTGTTCAGGCCAACAACGCGATAACTCTGGAGCAGTTGCTGGTACGCGCGAAGTCTCATCTCGCGCACAAACCACGCGCGGTGCTCGTGCAAGTACCGGTCCTGGTTCAGGAAATTGTCCTCCACGGCTGCCAATGCTACGAAGAAAGTGCGGTAGTTGCCGGTATACAGGCTGTCGACCAGGTTTGCAAGAGGCGAGAAGTCCACGGGCGCTTCGGTTTCAGACTGAATGCCAGATCCCGCTCCCAGAGTAGTGAGGTTCACCACAGTGGTAGCTGTGGTTGGCGCGGCTCTGGTGACAGTAGCATCCTTCATCTCCTCATCCTGGGCTCCGGGCCCGGAGGATACCTCGCCGGCCAGAGCAGCCAAGCGGTCCTCGCCAGGTCCAAGAATGGCCTTGATCTCGGGGGCATCCACGACCTTGGCCTTGAAGTCGACTCGCTTCAGGGATAATGAGCCGGCAAGGATCGAATAGATGACCAAGGACGAGTAGCTGCACAGTTCGTAGCTGGTAAAGGTCGATAGACTGTCGAGTAGCAGAGGGGCAGCAAGGTTGTAAGAACGGATGGTGAGTAGATGTAGGCCCTTGTAGGCCTTGAGGCGGTTTCTCCGGTCCCAGTCGCCGCCACTTTCAATCAGAGTGTTTGCCCGCTCAATGCTCTTCTTGACAGAATGGGTATCGCCGAAGAAAAGACCAATCCGGATCATGGCCAGCATCAGGTCGATCTTCGTTCCGAGGAATGTCGTCTTCTCAAGGAGGGCCTCGTGGGATTCGATAGCTTTGTCCTGCAAGCCACGGATTGAGGTTAGCATATCAACCAATATGCGGGGCTGATTTCGAATAGACTCCTGGCTAGAGCTTCCCAGGACATACCTTATCGCCTACACGGGCCCAGAACTCGGCGCGCTTACCCCGTGCGGCCAGCACCTCAGTTTCCCCGGCGGCTTCCTCAGCTTCGTCCTCCTCCTTCTGGAATGTTTCCAACTCCTTTCGGTTGTCTTCCATCAGTGACTGATACAGAGATTCATCCCAGGGGAAGTCTATGTTCTGAGGCGACTTCCGCGAAGCCAGCATATTTGACGTAATCAGGGACTTGGTCGGGTGCTGGGCGACACCCTCACCGGAGTGGTTCAGAATGCCTTCGACGGGATGAGCGAGGTGTCGGTAAAAGGGGGCCATCTTGTTCTCGGAAATAACATCTTGAAGCCTCTTCAATGATGTCTGTCGCACTGTTTGCGGGCATGCAGGGTTGGAGAGGTTGAAGACATGTTGGGCGAGGTTGAGATCAGGGTACTTTATGTACTGCGGATCGGACCCCATGTTGACGAAGGGGGCTTAGATATTGAGCTGAAAAAGATGCACGTATAGACAATGTAATGAAGAAGCTATGGGGCGAAGCTTGAAGGTCAAGGGAGCAGAGGGTCTGGGGTCGATGATGGATGAGGCAGATACATCACCTATGGAACGTAGCTGACCCGAGCTCAGCTGGGAAAATGTTGTTCCGGTTGCCGAAGCCGCTTCCAAGTTTCAACAGCCATTCCAACAGTTCATACGCTGAACACCATCGAGACATGCATAGAATCGTTATTATCTGGATAAAGGACTCTGCCCAATATAATAATTACGAATGTTGTATTGCGGTCGGTGGACTTTAGCATTGCAACACGTATTGTATCGATTTAAAGACAAGCCCTCAATGACTACTCGAGCGAATGCTTCTAGGCTGCTTGATTATTATGCTTGGCATCTATCAATAGACGAGATGTTCAAAAGCCATCATAGCTTCCTTCTCATTCTTCTCTGCAACATGTAGAGGTCGATGTCACATGACTGTGTATAATTGGCGGACTCCGGAACAGCAACCGAGGACAGAGTACCAAACGTAGAAATGATGCCTGCGAACGAAGTAAAACCATTATAGAAACTCCGAAGTGTCACCGCGGGTATGTTGCGCGTATACTACGTACAGATGATCATCCACGGAGCTGACTGTATTGGTGGGTTCCGTTATTAGACTGGAGTAAGATGATTTAGATAGTTGCTGGGTGGATAGAGGACCACACGTGCGCTCATGGCAGGCTAATAACTAATTACGCAGCTTGATCATTCGGAGCTAAACCGTGGATTGTAACGGATACCGTTCATCGACGCTGCTTCCTTCCAACTGAATTGCCACTCATGGGCGAGTTCGTATAAAAGAGAGCTTTAATACCTGCATGGTAGTAGTTCGATATCAGGTCAGTTAAGGGTGCAGTTGCCACCAGATCATTGAAGATGTGGCGGAAAGCCACATCCGACATTGGTGCTTATCATTTGCATCTAGGATGTAGTCTGCTCTTAGTCTTAAGAGGCGGCAGAGTTATCCGTGAAGTAGGTAGGCTAGGTGGTAATCGGGTCTGACATGCGAACTTGTACTTTGATGGCAAGGTTACCTCGGGGTATTCCGGTATCAAAGGCTGTCTGTCCACTAGTCGGAGAGCATGGTCCGCAAGTGGCTGGTCAAGGTATGATCCCTTGCCTAGAACAAGGTATACCTTATTCATGAGGATTTTTCGGCCTTGCAGCGATGCTCAGCTTCTTGGAATAACGTACAGGAGGTGTTGCGTCTAGCACGTGCTATGGGGCGAGTAAAAATTTTCCGTATCAGACCAGACAAGGTCGACGAGGCTAAAGAATCTCGCATATGCTTCGATGAGATTCGGCTGTTCAAATCAAGACTGAGGCATCAGCGAATAACAGCACATGGAGACGGGGTAAACTACACCTTAATAGGCATAGTGCATAGTTGGGCTTGATAGGGAAGATGGGGTACTGGGATCCACTTACCTTCTTGACCCGCGGTGATACTGACGCTAAGGCTACACAGGGAGGGGCCAATACAACCTCGCCGGCCTGCTTAGCGTGGGAAATGGAAGACCAAGGATCAAAGAGGAAATCCATCATGTGCCTTGACGCTGTTCTCTCGCTGGTCCTCTTGCCCACCCAAAGTTTTTTTTTTTTTTTTTTTTTCAGTCCCATTTTCCCTTGTACTTATACCTCGAGAATCCTGTTTCTTCCCCTCTCCTTTCCACTGATCTTTTACTCTCACCCCCTCTGATATATAGGCGCAATCGCCCTTTAATTGTTCCTCCTTCGTTGTCTTCCGAGTCCCTCATCTTGGCAAAAGTACATTTTATCTCTCAAAGACAATTGCTCTGTGTATATACACAGTGAACCAATTTCTCTTCGTTTGCGACAATCCAAGGCTGCGATCCTATATTGACCTGCAAAAGCAGTCAGCATGGAGCCAAAACCGGACGTTGAGTCCAAGGTCGATGTTCCCCCCGAGAAGGCCCCCGCTTCTCTTGACGCGGTTCCTCTGGAGGAAACTGCGGTTGGCAAGAGCCGTTGGGAGCGTAGTTGGCCCACGATTGCATGCGGCGCTGGTCTTTTCTCTGATGGCTACCTCAATGGGGTTCGTTCACTTGACATGGATTACTTTTGTGGCAGTTGGTGATTTTGCTAATATGGCTTTTCTACAGATCATTGGACCTGTAAATACCATCTTGAAGAGACTGTACCCTGAAGAATACTCCAACTCACCCGCCAGCCAAAATGTATCCTCTATTACTTTCGCCGGTACTGTGGTCGGCATGCTTATCTTTGGATACACAAGTGATCACTGGTCGAGAAAATGGTCCCTAATGATCTCTACAATAATCTTGTTCCTCTTTGCCGCTCTGTGTGCTGGTGCCTATGGGTACCATAACAGCCATTATGGTCTGTTTGCTGCACTTACTGCATACCGTTTCTTCCTGGGAATTGGAATTGGCGGCGAGTACCCTGCAGGGTCTGTCGCAGCCGCGGAGAACACTGGTGAACTCAAACAAGGCCATCGCAACAGATGGTTCGTGATGTTCACCAATTTCCAAATCGATTTTGCCTATGTTGTCTCCGCCCTGGTCTCAATGATATTGGTTTTGATTTTCACCGAAAATCATTTGCGTGCGGTCTGGCGTATTGGTTTGGGACTCGGTGTCATTCCACCTCTTAGTCTGATCTATCTCCGGTTGAAGTTGGAGGAGCCCGAGGAGTTTAACCGGGAGCGCATGCACAAGTTTCCTCTTTGGCTGATTATCAAGTAAGCTGCCTGGCTATGATCAGTTATTGCGTTCAAGACTAATCGCACATTCACAGGTTCTATTGGAAGCGTCTGGTTTGTGACTCTTCCTAGCCAATGCGCAGAGTACTACTGACCGTAAACAGTTTATATGCTCATTGATCTGGTTCCTCTATGATTTTTCTTCTTATTCTTTCAGCATCTACTCGTCTGACTGGATCGCTATTATCCTGGGAGACAGTGCTCCTCTCTGGCAGAGCTTCGGTTGGACTACACTGACATATACCTTCTACATCCCCGGATCTTTTCTAGGAGCACTGTCGAGTGATTGGCTGGGGCCCCGCAATACCCTGGCCCTCGGTGTCTTGCTGCAAGGCATTGTTGGGTTTATCATGTCTGGCTGCTATGAGTATCTCTCAACGCCTAAGAATGTCGCAGCATTCGTGGTGGTTTTCGGGTAGGCTCTGGATTGGATCACCTCAAAATCTCATCTGCTAACTACGGACCTAGCATTTTCTCGAGTCTTGGTGAGTTTGGTCCTGGCGACAACATTGGACTGTGCTGTGCCAAGAGCAGCGCAACCGCTGTACGGGGCCAGTTCTACGCCATCGCTGCAGCAGCTGGAAAGATAGGCGCGTTTGTTGGGACTTATGTGATCCCGATCATTCAAGACAACGCGCCTAACAAGATTCGGTCCGGTCAGGACCCCTTCTTCGTCTCCAGTTCACTCTGCATCTTTAGTGCTGCTTTGGCCTTTTTCCTCCTACCAAACATCGGACAGGTATGCCATATTTGCTGGTTCCGTCCAGGCGAGAGTAGGCTAATCGTCCCTACAGGACACCATCACATATGAGGATGCCAAATTCCGGGCCTATCTAGAGGCTCATGGTTACGACACTTCTGCCATGGGCAACCGAGAGGAGCGGTAGTCGATTTCCTCCTGCAACCCGCGCGCCTTACGGACCTGCTAAAACAACGCATCTGAACCGCTAGCCCGGACAACGTCCCAGCCTAACAAGCGCCAACCTTCCCGTACCCCAAGCGACATTCCAACAGAAGAACGGCCCATGCAACATCTTCTAAGAAAGCCCAAGCAGCGAATGCGCGATGACCGACGATGGAAGTTGGTGTGAAGATGCCCAAGCGACCCCGGAAGAGAACACGCCCAGACGCGCAATTTTGGTAGCAAACAAATCACCCGATTGGAGCCCCTGGAAAGGATGCTCGGGGTCATAAGTTAAGAGAGTATGGTTAATGACTCGATGACTATGTATCAGTGATGTAATGTATAGAAATACTATTATTATGCTTTATATTCTTTTGTCGGAGGAAAGAAAATAAGCAAGCAAAAAAGTGATTGTTGAAGACGAGCTGGACCCGTAGTTCGCATGGCGGGGAGAGTGGATTAGGGAGGATCTTGTGATTGACAGCTTGGATGGTCCGACCAGCCGAGGTTCCAACTTCCGAAGTCTTTCACCTCCAACAGACGGGCGATCGCCGGCCGCTCATTTACCGATCCTATCATCCAGCAGCCAGCCCTCGACCCCTACTACTACTAATATCCTTTTCTCCGCCCCTCCCCCATCTTTTCTTCCTTCCATCCTTGGTGCGGAGTATCCTTTTTATCTCCCGTCCGTATCAGAACCTCTCCTCTCCGTCCGCCAGCCAGCCAGAGCTTCGCCTTCCTTTACCGTCCCCACGCCGTCCCGACACCGCGCGGAATTCGACTCCCGCCTTTTTCTACCCTTTCAATAGTAACCGACACCTTCTCGAACCCTTTCCATCAACCCAACACATACACCAGCCATTATCAATATGGTCGCAGACGCTTTGGTTTACCACCCTGCCTTGGCGCATTACCTGCGCTTTGTCGCAACGACGGGTGCGTGCCGACATTCTATCTGTCCTGCGCTGCTGGTTTCTCGGCCGGGAGAGAGCAAGGTGCCTCAATGCAGGGGACCTGCCTCTCGTGCTTTTGGAGGATAAATTAATCGGATTGCAGAATATCACTAACCTTTCCACAGTCGGTCGCGATAAACTCCTCCGAACCTTGCAATACTTCTCCCGCTTCTATGCTTGGTACCTCTACCGCACCAACCGCCCCCAGTCCGCCATCGAGCCTTTCAACGCCGTCAAGAAGCAGTTCGGAACAACTCGGAAGATTCTGCGGATCGGCAAGTTTGTTGAGCATCTGAAGGCAGCTGCACTGGCCTCCGACAACAAGAACCCTGTTGACCCTGTACTCCGTTATCTCGCCGTCGGCCGTCAGCTCGGCTACGCGGGCTACCTCTCTCTCGACACAATCACCGTTATCGATACGATCGGTGTTCGTAAGCTCGCTTCGGCCAAGCGACTGCAGGAGCACGCTTACCGCTCATGGATGGCGGGCTTGGTCTGCAGTGCTGTCGCGGGTGTATACACTCTGTTCAGGTTGCGGGAGAAGGAGAAGACCCTCGACCGCAAGGAAGGCGAAGGTGTCGTGGAAGCCAAGAAGCTTGAGAAGTATGTTGTGTTTTTTCTGGTCTGATCCTCTGGCGCTGAATCAGTGTACTAACATTGTACTTTCAGGGAGCGCTCTGCCGCACGCATTCAGCTTATTTCCGACCTTTGTGACCTGAGCGTGCCAGTGTCCGCTCTCGGACTGGCATCTCTCGATGACGGTATTGTGGGTCTCGCAGGAACGGTCAGCAGTTTGATCGGAATCTGGTCCCAGTGGCGGAAGACTGCGTAAGCTGTCGCTGCTAGGACTGCATCATGGAGATCGATATCAACAAGGCCTTATAGATAGTTCTTTCTGGCCCTCATCAAACGCCGTCTGCGCGGTTATTGATACTAGAATCTGACACGCCGGTGATTAGCGGGTGTGCTCAGACAAAGCGAGAAACAAATACTGACGGGTTGGACTAACTGAGCATTTCATGTGCGAGGCGGGTCCCAGCCATTTATTCAACGGATTCATGTAACTTAGAGCTTGTTCCCTTTGTTTGCTTCAGCCAAATATCATTTGTCCTCTGTTGCACCTGTTACTCTCCGGTTATACCATTTCTTTTTCGGCTCTCTATCTATTCCCATTTTCCGGCTGAAGTTGATGCATCGCTTCCACGCTACACTTGCAGGTCCGAGCCACTATCGGATATGTCAACTGGCCGTGTTTCGCAAGAGGCCCCTTGCAGCCCTCGCATTCAGGCACTCAGGCTGGCGGCTACTCGCAGCAAGAGCAGCCAGTTTCTGAATCAACCTAGTCCTCCCCACCACAGTGCATACATAATCTGGCCTTTGTCTCAACGCCAGCGGGTGATTATGGTCATTGAGCCTGGAATTCCTAAAACAGTCATATGTCGCCAATCGAACCTTGCCTGACCAACAATTGCCCTTTTTTCTCCTTATAAATTCATTGATCGAGCTGTCTTGCATACTGGGCTGCAGTACCACAGTACCATTTGACAGACAAATCCAGAGCCACCTGCATCATCAACCAACTTGGTATGCTATTTTTGTCTTTCCACAATCTTATTGTTATCAATATCTTGCTTCCTTCCATCCCTTGTTACTTACTGATAAGCCTTCTTTGCTAATAGACTAAACGTTGACACGCTACATTGCCCACGGTCCATTGCATTCCTAGAGTTACGTACGAACCGAAAGCTTAACCTCAGACCGGCATGCAAATCTGTCTTCCGCCCATCGGGATGCGGCCTGGCCTCTTCATTCCTGGTTCATTCCTATCTACGCCTCGCAGCCAAGCTTCGAAGCTGCAATCCCTCCTGCAAGGGAGGCGTATCAGGACCCACTATGTATGCATCCTGTCGGAATGGTGTGACAGCACCAGGCTCTTGTACAGTATAGTAAGGGGTGACCAGGAGTTCGTTGATGGTCTGGCCGTGCTGTATGAACAGGCGGCCTCCCCCGACTTTCTACCCTAGCCAGGGCAGAATCTGACTGGTATCTTTGACCGGCACAAATAACCCATTTACACCAGTCTCCCAGACCTTGACTTTGAATGATTGATGGTCCTCAGTATCTATCTTTGTTAGGATCCATGCGCGATTTCTCTAACTCGATTTGGGAGTGAGGCTTGTTTGCCCCAGCCGGACCCAGTCAACAGCTGTTTAGCGTTAGCAGGGATGTTGCATCCGTTTCTTGACGTTAGCAACTTCAATCTCGTTCTTTCTGTTACAGGTGAGGGGAAGAGATCCAAGTTCATAAGGTTCAAGTGGGGAGCTAATACCCTACCAAGGCCTTTACATTCTCCTATTTGGCTTCGTCTCCTTGAAGGTCAAACAAAGATGGTACCTTGGTGAAGCCCGTATGATTCTACAACCTACATTACAGGACGCGATACTAATCCTCCCAGTGCCTGCCTTCGTTGTTGGCATCTGCTTTGGGCCAGCTGGTGCTAAGTTACTGACCGTTTCTCAATGGGGAGGTGATAGTGCCAACGAGACCAGCGAGATAGCCTATGTACGACTACCGGGTAAACACTGGAAGAGACAGTGCTGACTTTTCAGGGCTTGACCCGTCTCGTCATTGGCGTTCAGTTAGTCAAAGTGGGATATGAACTACCCAAGAAATACCTGAGGCAACGCATGGTGGAGATGATCATCTGTCTATTACCATTGATGACCATCTCATGGCTCGCAACTTCTGCCTGCATAAAGCTTGTGATCCCGCACATCTCCTTTGTATGTCTACCCTTGCCTCTATCTGTGCTAGCACTGGAGCGACTAATCACCCGACGAAAGCTCTCAGCAATCATCATCAGCGCTTGTGTAACATGCACCGATCCAGTCCTGTCCCAGGCAATTGCGAAAGGCCCTTTTGCTGACAACTTCGTCCGCCGCCCACTACGAGAGTTCATCTCCGCCGAAGCAGGTGGCAATGACGGCTTCGGGTTTCCACTCTTGTTACTCGGAGTCTCATTCTTGCGATACGCCGAAGCCCCAGCCAACACCCTCAGCTTGGAAGAGTTTGACCTGGAACGGGGAGTCCCAGATGTTCTCGGGACAACTGGAGTCGGACGTTTCGGCGGCGGCGCAGGCGTGGCGCTCAAACACTGGGCTATTGAAGGAGTTCTATACATGATCCTACTAGGTGCAGCTTACGGTGCATTCGTAGGGTTTGTGTGCCAGAAGCTGCTGAAGAAAGCGGTCAAGCACAGGTGGATTGATCATGAAAGCTTCACACTTGTCCCAGCGGCAATTGGATTGCTCCTTGTTGGCACGTGTGGTTGTTTCGGCTCCGACGAGACACTCGCCTGCTTCGTCGCTGGGTGTGTCTTGAACTGGAATGGTCTTTTTCACGAAGAGATTCAAGCTCGACATGATTCGTTCAACTCGACGATGGAGACCTTGCTGAATTTCGCAGCGTTCATGTTCCTGGGGGCGACCATGCCGTGGGAATATTTCCAACGTCCCCATGATACGGGGATAACACTCTGGCGGCTCTTTGCATTGGGATTCCTAATCCTGGTATTTCGTCGCATTCCAGCTATTCTGGTGGGATATCGCTTCATGCCCAAGGTCTGCAGCGACTGGAAAGAGGCACTGTTTCTAGGGCACTTTGGGCCAATTGGTTAGGTCACATACCATTCTCTGATCATCTCATGCTAAGACATATACATAGGAATCGGCGCGGTCTCATACGTCGAGTACACTCGTCGACTATTTCCTCCCCCAGGACAAAGCGACGAGGAAATCAACAGCATGACAGCCGCAATGGTACCAGGTATGCATGCATTGCACTCAGAAACCTCAGATAATCTCTAACTGATGGACATACAGTCGTCTACTGGCTAGTCCTATTCTCCATCGTAGTCCACGGCCTGTCAGTACCAGCTCTCAACGTCCTTTACAGCATCTTCAACGTACCCCGTATCTGCGACCACCCCGTCACCGTCGTCCTTCTCTCGGAGAACGAGCCTCTCCCTAACAACAGCACAATCAACCCCCAACGCCACTCGATGGTCCTCAACAACCGGTTCTCACGGCCATCAGAGAGCGAGAACGACCAAGAACAGGAAGACAAAGAGGACACGGAAACCATGCTTCGATCGAGAGAAGAGAGTCCCGATCGGAGTATAGAGCGCCTTTCAACGCAGTCCGGTCGGTCGATTAGAACCGTGGATATGAGAGATCTGGTGTGATTTTGTACCTCTACGAAGAACGAAGCAATCATCTCTTATTTATTCATTTATTTCATCTCATCTCATCTTATATTCATCGTCGTCGTCGTCACTCGTCAACACGTTATACAGCCACACATCCCGTCCCTTCGCCTACTTATCACATCCCCATGCCCACAACCCCATAAACGCCGTATATCATCTCCAGATCGACACCGAAGGTAGTTTAAACAGGGCAGGTCTATCATAAAATATTGTAATTAGCGAATAGTCCCGTTTACTGTGCAGAAAAGAACAAAGAACCACGTACCTTTCCGCAAGATCCACAGGTCTTGGTCTCGCCAGGGATGGCAGCGCCGCAGGAGGGGCAAGCTTGGTGAGCACCGGCCATTTTGGTAGGTTGGATGTGTATTTATCTCGTGGAGAGAAATGAAGTTAACTATGAGTCATTAGTCAGTCAATAAATATTATGCTTATCATCACCAGAAAATAACCAAGTCTCTTCCTTCTACTCACCTAAACGTGTATGAAGCTAGGAAGCAGGGTCTCGACAGTGTACGTAGAAGGTAAGCAAGAGAAGAAAGGGGAAGCTACAAATAGATAAATAAATAAATCTTGACTAATCCCTCAGCGATGATTCACGCATTTCTGGCCGTGCTGTGCTGGCGAAACCCCGCCACAGCGAGCGCGTGATATTCTTCTTAGTAGTACTTTGCCCCGCCTGATGCGGGATCGGCGGGACGTGATTGGCTACTGGGGTTGTTTGATAAGACAAGAAGCGAGTGTGCACGTCGCAGATGATTGTTTTTGTTTTTGTTTGTGAAGAATTGCTTTTGTGGGTGATTGGTCATGGGGAGGGTCTTGGTTAGCTGGTGTGCATTAGGAATTCATTTGTGAAGTGGTGGGACTGGGTATTGTATCGTGATGATGATGTGTAGTGGTGATATTGTTGATGATTTTCTTTCGAGTGTTGTGCATGTGAGTGGGGTGGTGGGTGATCGACGAAGGTTGCCTGGCTCAATAATCAAGAGGTTATATGGGATATGGTGTGCTCTTTGGTTGCCTTGAAGTGTATAGTAGTAATGGAGTGGCAGTGGAAACCCCAGGGGTTCACTGTCGAGTTGTGGAACAGAAAATATGTTGACCATGATTGCCCGACAATACGTACCGTCCATAACAGATCCATTTCCCTCGGTCTCTTTCTCCAACTCCATATCACAACTCCAGACATCCACACTCATCTTCACAAACTTAGTAATGACAAAGCCAATCCCTTACCAGGTCCGTTGAGGAATCCGACGTCATATTGTCAATAAGACCCGAAAGTTGGGCATCACCTCGAGAGCGTTCCTTGTCTTTCAGCGTACTGCGTTAGATCGGGTCAAGTCAGGAAAATAGGCCTAACAGGACTATGCAGGGATAGGGCTGTTGCTTGGGACAGAAAGTAAGGGAAATACCCTTGCCAGGAGACATCGCAGTCAGCCCAGTCATTGTCCACGTTCAGATCCTAGACTCTCGTGCTGAGAATGCTCATGTCGCCGTCACGGGAGGCCATGAAATGGTCTCGCTCAGGTCAGCTTTGCGGGCTTAGCTCCTGGGGGAAATTCCAGGGTGAAGGTAGTGGTAGTGAGGAGAGTGGAAATTGAGAGCTGCATTGGGGTTGAGATAGTTTAGATTGGTTTATAGGAAGACGGGGGTACTTGTTTCAGGCCTGCGATCTGTGGGGCGTTAAGTCAGATGCAATGATGCTGTGGATTTATTGTCTTGCTGTGCGGGCACTCGGAAGCTTCTCATTGACCTATTTTAAAATTTTTTTGTTGTTGTTGGGGGTAAACATGAACGCTGGCGCGAAAGAAGCAATTCTGGATGAGATTGTCATAATGCGCTATGGTTAGCTGATCCCTGGGAGTGATATCCGCCTATCTCGTCAGTTGTTGCTGAAGTGAAGCCAGACAGAATGTAGTACTGCTTACCTTGCCGCGGACACTAGCTGTCTAAGGTACACAATGTTAGCCATTAGCGAGGTGGAATGAACATTGTGGTTTATATATAGGCCTGACAGCCGTTTACACGGCATGGTAGGCGCGGACTATGGTTGCAATCGAGGTTGAGACGCGAAGTTTCAGGACTAGTGACGGACATGGCGTTCCAAATTGCTTCTGGGATTGTGCTAGATGAGATGTATGTCATTACTTGTCGAAGAGGTAGCTTATTGAGCCAGGAATCGATATCTGGACGAGTTGTCTCGACCTTGTTGATGGCCATCAGAGAAACTTGTCTAGCTGGTTGCTATACGCAGATTATGGACAGTATTCTGCGAAAGCCAAGAGCTGAAGATGCAACACAGTGACTAATGTTGTATAACATTTGCAGTTACTGGACTTGCATGTAATAGGGTTCGAATACCGACGAGTTTGGAGGTCTGGATGATGATTGTGGCCTTCCTGAATCAGTGATTTCCTTTTTCGGCTTCACTATATAAGTTGAGTTTCTTTTGTCAACTGATATCCCGTGATTCACCGAGCCACTTCCGATTTGTATTCTGATTTTTGGCAGATGCTATGAGTCTTGCCGAAGGACTTGACTAATATTTTGAATTCTTCTCCATGATAACAGACTATGAGGTATCGTAGCCAGTCAGTTCTTTGACAAAACAGAATTTACACATTAGATTGACTCAGCTCAAATGATTTCTTCAAAAAGTATCATTGGGAGACAAGAGGGTGTGGACAAAACTACGATGAGAGACACTGCAGACAGTATGTCGAACAATTCACAATATATCTAGCAGATACAATTTGCTCCTGCAGATTGACAGTATTTCGCGAAGTGACAGCAAAGCTTCTCGGGTTATCGTAGTCTATGTAGCATGCACACAGGAGCTACCTGTAAGTGCAGTCTGCAGGTGTCCACACTAGCCTGAACTGGTAAAGAAAACCCGAAGCAAGATAAAATGAATTGGCACTGAGAAAACAACCATCACGCGCACATAATATAGGCAGATGTCTTAATTAGGAAGAGACAAAATAGTGGTGGCCGGTCTAGATGAGCGATTGGAACCACTTCGCAAGCTAGCTCGGTCTGGAGTTCTTGCTAAATCCAGCCCAATCCTTCGACTCGACGATTGTTTCCATATTTATCACTATGTCGAATATAGAAATATGTCATGTGCACAAGGGGGAATTGGAGAAGACTGTTTCGGTCACCAGGTTGCGCTTCCTCCACCGTACTATTTGAGCTAGCTTTCGATAATTGTAGTACTTTATGCTGCAATCGATTTTTCTGTTTTGGCCATTAGAAGATCCGACTGAATCATGTTTCTGCTGCCTGCAATCAATGCCAGTATGCCACTCCTGTGTGGAGTTCAATGTCGTCTTTACGACCTCCGGTGTCTAGTGCGGAAGAAAATATATAATGTGGTACCGATAAAGGTGAACTTGATACCCAAGCTGCTGGCTAAATATAAGTATTGTGGCCTTATTTCTATTATTCTCAAGTGATACAAAAACTGCAGATAAATGCATTGCAGGTTCTCAATGTATGAAGTGGTGGCAAAGAAGTCGGTGAAGGCAGATGTATCGAATTAGCCACGGAAGCTAACAACCCGTTAGAGGAGCCGAACTGCAGTTCGTATCCGACACGAAAACCCAATGATAGGTAACACATAAGCACAGAGTAGGACAGGTGACTCTTTTGCGAAGGGAGGCCACAATGTTCAGAAACACTCGTATAGACTATCCATCACCGTCAATAGTTCGAACAAACCCCTCTCCAACCATCAGACTACCGAATCCACAAACCGGAAAAGCGTTTAACTACGCTCTAGCCGGAATCGGACAACCCCCAGGGGACGAGAACATCCGGGGAAAGGCCCGCGTGGCCCCGGCACTCCTCGGATGCGGGGTACAGATTGCTGCTGTGGCTCGATAGGGGAAAGACACCGCAATGACATCTTGGCTGATTCCAATGCCAGGGCACGATTTCTCCGTCGCATCCATCTACCGTGATAACATCCCGGGGTAAGTGTCCTTGGCTAAGTCGTCATACGCCATTCCTTTGATTGTCCGCGTGGGAGGCAAAAATGGGGGTTCTTTCAGGCACCTGACCAAAGCCGGGGGCGGCAACTCGGATATTCTTGGGGAATTCGGAAAGGGGCCAAGTTGATCTATCATGTGCAATTATCGTGGTTGCTACAAAGTCGGTAGCCCCTTTTTCTTATCTACTGAGCAAAATAGAATGAAATTTCAGATTCCTATGCATCTCATATATGAAACCTACCGTCTGTAGATAAGAACTGAGACTCATGTATGAGGGATATTACTGCAGTAAGGAGACGGACGGGCATCCTTCCAGGGTCCACGTAGCGGGTTAACGATGGCAAAAGCCCGCATCGGTATGACATGGAATCCCAGGAATGTGACTCGGATCCAGCTGATAGCTCTCATTTGCCTCAATTTACAGCTCACCCGAAAATAATGCTCGAGCCCGAAAAGACGGCAATATCTTCTGCCCATGAGAGTGACGTTGGATTGTCCATCGGTCGCACATGCCGATGCTGATTGGTGGCTGACAGGAACGTTTCGGGAAGGGGATGACTAAGATGATACCGGAAACGGGAAAGTGCGGACGAGGGGAACCCGAGATTCTCCCCCGGCATTTCGTCACTCGGAAAGATTCCATTCGCAGTCGCTGCTTCTGCTTTTCTGGTCGGGCCCAGACTTGAATGCAGTCCTAACTCTGTCTCCATTATGGGTCAGTTCTCAGCCAGTCCTGGCAATGCATTACACACGAGTCGCCTGGTCGGGTATAGTCCAGCCCTCCTAGCCGAAAAAGAAAAAAAAAAGAAAAAAAGAGAAGAAAACTGCTTCCCCCCCCCCCGCAATTTCCCTAGTCTAGCTATGGGAGTTTTTTAGTTATCGCCTCTAGACTCCGTCTTCTTGCATTGAGCTCATTCAACGTCACCACTCCAACTCGTTCCATCTACCCGTTTCCCTACGTCCATTGTTATTTGTTCGGCCAGCTAGAAAGAGTAGACGGTCCTTTTGTCTTTGGAACTGAGTAAATTGTAATTGAATGAACTCTTTTGCAGCATCCATTCACTCGATGATCCGGTGGTGGCTGCGCGCGGCAGGCTCCAAGACCATCACATAATAATAAATACCTCGTTCCCGTAGCGCCGGGGCCACGAATTCCCACTCTGCATCACTAGCAGCTTAAGCGTCTATCCCTGTACTCCAAACCACTCCAAACCTGCGTACCAACTCCCACTAGTGCCGTTGATGAGACATTAATTCATCATTTCCTGACGCGCTATCCGTGATACCGCCTCAAATCTCTGATCCTGTTTCCGAAGCTTGTGTTATTTGCTCAACTCTAGTTGGTGCATCCGTCATCCCTTCCGGGACCACCTCGTGCCCACATCTGGGGTTCGGAACTTTTCGGGCTTCGATTCGAGGCATTTGTCTTCCTTTTCCACTCTTCACGATAACCATCGCCGTCGAGACGCGGTCTGCGGCCCCGACATCTTCCGTGGAACGGTGGAGTAAACATTTCCAGCTGCGATTCCACACATTCAGGCGTCTTGGATCTCCCATCATGAGTCCTGCGACAAACATTCATATACCCCCCGTTTCCCCCGCCGAACCTGGTCCTCTTGCTTCAGATTTCTTCCAACAGCAACTCGCAAAACAAAGAAATAATAACTATCATTCTACCTCACTAAGAAATATGGTTGCTGCTTCGGTGAATCGCACTGCTCTGCACCCTGGTGGTGTTCAGTATGTCTTGTCCTCTCCTTCTATCTACCCGTGCCTTTCTTGATATGTTGTCGCATTGCTCGGGGTTACCCTCAACCACTCGCGCAATGCGTCGCATATCATGCCATGACCTTGCCTGGTATAGATCGATGCTAACATGACCTTCCAGGCCGGGCAAGGGTCACACTGAGCTCGAGGAAGAGCTTCATGAACACGCCCACATTGACTATGACCGCGTTGCTATTGTAAGCTCACCTATGGCAATGTTTCTTGACCCTTGCTAACCAGGATAGATTGCCAACCCTGCTGTCCCTGCTCTCTACGAAGATGCTCTGGTCTACGAGACTGGTACCGCTATCACCTCCAGCGGTGCCCTGACTGCCTACTCTGGTGCTAAGACTGGTCGCTCTCCCTCTGACAAGCGTATCGTCAAGGAGGAGACCTCCGAGAACGATGTCTGGTGGGGACCTGTCAACAAGCCCATGACTCCTGATGTACGTGCTTTCCGTTGTTTTTTTTTTTTTTTTCCCCTTGGTTCTCCTGCAAGTGCAATTTATCGCGCATGAGGATCATCCCTTGCATGGACCCGCAGCTGGCATGGACCCAAGCTTTTCTGGCAGCACAACGGGAGGAAATAAATGCCTCATTATAGACTTTTTGAGGCATTTTTGATCTTGCGACTGCTGTGCGACACAAAAGTTTGGGTTTTGTCCGGTTGTGTTCCTGAGAATGCTTGTTTCACCAGGTTGCGCCTGGTCGGGGTTCTCCAGATGACGTCATCCATGATCCGGACTGTTACTAACGGCATCCCGATTTGCAGGTCTGGCGCATCAACCGTGAGCGTGCTGTCGACTATCTCAACACCCGTAACCGCATCTACGTTATCGATGGTTTCGCCGGCTGGGACGAGAGATACCGCATCAGCGTCCGTGTCGTCTGCGCCCGTGCCTACCATGCTCTCTTCATGCGCAACATGCTTATCCGCCCCTCCCAGGAGGAGCTGAAGCACTTCCACCCCGACTACGTTATCTACAACGCTGGTTCTTTCCCCGCCAACCGCTTCACTGAGGGTATGACCTCCGCCACCTCCGTTGCCATCAACTTCGCCGAGAAGGAGATGGTCATCCTGGGTACCGAGTACGCTGGTGAGATGAAGAAGGGTGTCTTCACCGTCCTCTTCTACGAGATGCCCGTCAAGCACAACGTCCTGACCCTCCACTCTTCGGCCAACGAGGGCAAGGATGGCGACGTGACCGTCTTCTTCGGTCTCTCGGGTACTGGCAAGACCACTCTGTCTGCCGACCCCAACCGTGCCCTGATCGGTGACGACGAGCACTGCTGGACCGACCGTGGTGTCTTCAACATCGAGGGTGGCTGCTACGCCAAGTGCATTGGCCTCTCCGCCGAGAAGGAGCCCGATATTTTCAACGCCATCCGCTTCGGATCCGTCCTCGAGAACGTTGTCTTCGACCCCATCTCCCGTGTTGTCAACTACGACGACTCTACCCTTACTGAGAACACCCGCTGTGCCTACCCCATTGAGTACATTGAGAACGCCAAAATCCCCTGCTTGTCCGACAAGCACCCCTCGAACATCATCCTCCTCACCTGCGACGCCCGTGGTGTCCTTCCCCCGATCTCCAAGCTCACCACCGAGCAGACCATGTTCCACTTCATCTCGGGTTACACCTCCAAGATGGCTGGTACTGAGGACGGTGTCACCGAGCCCCAGGCTACCTTCTCCTCCTGCTTCGCCCAGCCCTTCCTGGCCCTGCACCCTATGCGCTACGCTCGCATGCTGGCGGACAAGATCTCGCAGCACAAGGCTAACGCCTGGCTGCTCAACACCGGTTGGGTTGGTGCTGGCGCTACCACCGGTGGTAAGCGTTGCCCTCTCAAGTACACCCGTGCCATCCTGGACGCCATCCACAACGGCTCCCTCAACCAGGTTGAGTACGAGACCTACGATGTGTTCAACCTGCACGTTCCCAAGACCTGCCCCGGTGTTCCTTCCGAGCTCCTCAACCCCAAGAACAGCTGGACCGCCTCGACGAACTTCTCCGACGAGGTCAACAAGCTTGCCAAGCTGTTCAACGACAACTTCGGCAAGTACGCTGACCAAGCGACGCCCGAGGTCATTGCGGCCGGTCCGGTGCCTCAGTAAATTGTTTCCCATTCTGTTTTTCCATTTCCTTTTATCTGCTTTTGATATCTTGCATGGCGTGCTGCGTTTCCAATCATGGGTCATTTGAATCTTCCACTACCATGTGTGTGGCCTACCCCGGCCGGCGGGGAAAATACCATTGGCATTTCCTTTTGGGTTTTGGCTTCTTTAGAAGTCGCGGTAACAATTAGAAATTGAATTCAAAATATACCTTCAATCACATCTATCACGTAAAATGAACCGTAAGAGAATCACCGTAGCAAGCCATGAATCCACAGCGAGTCACGGGGATGAACAGTGGTCGATCTCTGACTCCACATGTGATCGCCGTTTAGCGTCTCCGACTTGTTCCTTCTTCTCTGCAACGCTGCTCTCCATCCGTATGCCATGTGCAACTGCTCATAGCCAACAAGTCTAACAAGTTTCACATAAAGGCGTTTTTCAGCCAACCTCCTTCCACGTTGATTCTACATGCAAACTTAGTTGCAAGCTGCACGCTGACGCGAATGAGCTCTGTAGGCTTGCATCAACCAACGTACTTTAATCTCCGAGGAGAGACTTTGAAATGACTGGCCTGGACTTAAGTTGCTTTTCTTAAATTGATTATATGCTACGTGCCGTGCAATCAAAACTATGTGTTCACTCTGGTCCTCGACTCAAACAAGGGGGTAATGCAAACATCAGAACGTCAACAACTTAATGCCCTTACCTCTTTACGATATATATTCATAGGACTACTGGGACAACTACATTGAAAGATTTACCTCGACACCTGGGTGCCCTACCTCCTTCATGGTAGTAATCCAGCATCTTTAACTCGGAAAGTGGACCGAAAGGTTGGTTGTTAGTCATACCATTAAGATATTACTGACAGGAATAGATATCTACGTCTCAGGAAAAGACTTGCAAAAGGAAGTCCACTACGGAGTGATACAACTGGGGACGAAGAATCTCTTTACCTTGTCGGACTCAAATGGACATGCCAAGTCGAGTAACATCATCGGACCTGGTTTCCCAAGCGCTGCCATGCGGGGGTTCGAACCGAAGCGTCTGCCGCAGGTTCATAGGTTTCGCGACGCCCTCTATCTCGAGCAGACAGATGCGAATGGCAGCTCGTGGGGACGCCAATGATTGTGTCAGACTGGTGCAGCTACTTTGCGTTCGGTGTAATCATCGATATTGTATGCGGCAGGTTTGTAATCTGCTCTGCAGCCAGAAGTCCCAATGTACGGTGTACGATATCTCGCGTTACCATCGCCTGGTCAAGAGCATGATGGCAGACGCGGCGAGTATGTCCATATGCGTCTTCAGTCGGTTGACCAAGGCCCGCCGTTGCTGTTCGGTCTCCTGTTTCGGTAGATGCCCGTACCGTCGGGTCGAGGAAGACGACATAATCAGATCCCAGCCGGGTGCAGCGTCGGTAAAGGCATTTATAGTATCCACAGCCTGCTGGATTGCCCTCGCCAAACACGTACCCCCCGGAACGATGGCTGCCCAAAGCAGAGTCAAAGACACATCAATCTCGGCGTTAGCTCGGCGGCGTACGCGCCATTCTCGCAACTTCGCAAGGCACGCGTGCGTGCATCGGGCGACACCTAGCGCAGCTGGAGCTCCAGATAGCGTTAGCAAGTATCATGTGGAGAGCTACGACATGCGACGGCCAGCCATGACCGCCGCAATGATGGGGGCAGGGCACGCGGGGCAGGCATTGGGCGAACGAACGCGCAGAAATTCCAACTTTACGACCAGATCATCAGCAAGAACGAGGCCGGTCATTCAATTTCGGCCGCGTGGGCACACACAGCAGAAGATAAACCGAGTCGGCTATTCCGCCGGATACAAGGAGCAATATAGGCCGCCAGATGAAGAGATGATGGCCTGCAGAGGACAATACTCCGATATGAGACGGGCATTCCAGCGAGAATCGGCTGTTTTCTTTGCAGCTCGCTTGTGGCAGGTAGTCCCCACAGACAGGATCGTAGTCTAAGCCCCAGTAGCTAATCCGCCTGGGGGCCTGGACCTCCTGACAGGGTAACCAGCCAGTCAGCAGGCTGATGATTACTCCTTGCTGGGTCCTGTCCCGGGAGAGTACCCGAGGGATAGAAGTGAAGCTCACCGCGCGCGACTACCGATACCCGCCTCACCCGCTCCGGGATCCCGAGATGTGCTGCCGCCAGGGGGGAGTGGTTGCCGCGAAGGTATCCGTCGCCCCAGTTCATCCACTATCGAATATGCAGTATGGAGAAAGCTGTGTTTTATTGGGATAGTTGGGGATAGGGAGGACCCTTTTTGGAATTGTAATTCCGATACGACGTGTATTACTACTAACTAGCTAGGTTTGATGGGTCTGTTGTTGCAAGTAGATGTAGATTCCCAACAACTTGTTGACCCTGGAGGCAATGAGCTAGGAGATCAGTGCTCCGGCATACAGCCAACAAACCCTTCCAACCGAGTCATCCACCTTGCCGGCTACTTGACTGGGACCCTGCGATTCGATCATAGTTGTGTAGTCATCACATTGTCACTGAAGTGAGGACGGAGGAGATCTTCTCCGGCTGACAGTGGCAGGCAGCACAGGGGAAGATCCGAAAGTCGGAGGAATCGGGAGAAAGGAGATAATCCAGCATATAGTAGGAGATCTGAATATGATTATTCCGGGGGTGCATTATTGTTGTTGTAAACGATGTTGTGAGTGATACCAAGTTTCTATTGCTGTTTCTCTACTAGTATTCTGAACGGTAGCTAATGAATATCCTAGTTTTTGGTGAAGTTGAAAAAAAGAATATGTTATACGACCAGATATCTCCGAAGTGACAGACAGTACCTACCTTAGACTGATCGACGAAGACCAAGCTTTGGGGGGAAAAAATAATAATATTATTATTCAGGATGCATTATTACCACCGACATTACTAACCCACTTCCGCAAACTGGGGAAAGAGGAGATAGGAGATAACCTCGGGAAGGCGGCAAGAAGCAGCGCAAACCGGACCGTTCTCGTGGTTAGTCCCGATTAGGTTTAGTGTAGGTGTGGGGAGATTACGGTAATTACTTTATGTACGTATGATGGATGATTATTCCCCGCCATGACGTTTTGGTATTAGCTTGCTGTTTTGTATCTATTTCTTTTTTTTGTTGAATATTTGCAATACACGGCATGTTTGGAAATAAATCGTACTGTTAGGAGAAGAGAGAGAGACAGTTATCTATCAGTAGAGACAAGAACAACAACTTCATCATAGACACAAATCATATGAATGGAATCTCATCAGACGTGGCAACCCCGCATTTTCCAGCTGGCGGCATCGTGCAGCAACTACTCTGAATCATATACTAAATCCTCATCGATCGCTCGGGCCTTAAGTTTGGCATCGGCTAACAAAGTGGGGATGGAAACAGTTGCCCAGTCTGGAGAAGATTATTCGAAGTGTCAGTCAAGTAATTGCTGGTCGGCTTCTCGGATAGAATGAATCAATGGTATACAAATACATCATCGAATCCCCGTCAATGCTACCTTGACTCATGCATCAAAGTTATTATAAGTATCTCAGAATCAACCCACCCAAGATACTTGCTTGCTTGCTTGCTTCCAGTTGTACAACCTTCGCAACAAATTAATCCATTCACTGCACACACACACTCTCGCCCCCTCACTTCTTCCTTTCCCATCATCTGACTGTTCCAACTTGTTCTACTCCTCCTCAAAAACCGGTTCACCACTTTCCTACTCATTCTCGTCGGGCCTTTTCGTGACTTCGACCGGGTTCCCCTCATTGCCCAGCTGTGCTTCCACGGTACGTTGAATCTCCCCTCCCGCCCTTTTCACGTCACGGTCGGTCATGCTGAGTGCCTGGCAAAGAAAATCTGTCTTTTCTTTGCTCCGCCAGGCACTTCGTATCCTTATGGCTAGATGGTCTTTTCTCCCTGCTGCCCCCCCCCCCAACACCGCATATCGTGTTATCTGTTGATTCGCGTTTCATCCTTCGTTCATCTGTCTTCCTCCTCTTAAATCCTTCGTTCGGCGCGTCTCATCCGCCCTCACTCTCCTCAAAAGTCTCCGCATTAACCCTCGTTCACCTCTCTAGATCTGGTGTGAATCCTGCTTCCTCGTCAACATGGCCTCCCCCACCGCGGCCAAAGAGCCCCAGCCGGCCATGGATTTCCTCCATCACCCTTACACCCGCGCTGCTCTTCCCTTCGTGAACGGTGGCCTCGCTGGGATGACCGCCACGGTCGTGATCCAGCCCATCGACATGATCAAAGTCCGTTTGCAGCTCGCTGGTGAAGGTGTGCGCACCGGTCCTCGCCCGTCTGCCTTTGGCGTGGCCCGCGACATCATTGCCTCAGGCAAGGCCCTCGATCTGTACACCGGTCTGTCCGCTGGACTGCTACGCCAGGCCGTCTACACTACCGCCCGTCTGGGCTTCTTCGACACCTTCAGCAAGACTCTCAACAAGCGTGCCGAAGCCGCCAACCGCAGCGTCACCTTCGCCGAACGTGCCGGAGCCGGTCTCGCTGCCGGAGGTATTGCCGCCATGATTGGCAACCCGGCCGATCTGGCGCTGGTGCGGATGCAGTCCGACGGTCTCAAGCCTCCCGAGGCGCGGGCCAACTATCGCTCCGTCATGGACGCGCTCTTCCGCATCTCCAAGCACGAAGGTGTCCCGGCTCTGTGGGCTGGTGCTTTCCCCACCGTTATCCGTGCCATGGCACTCAACGTCGGCCAGTTGACCTTCTTTGCCGAGTCCAAGGCCCAGCTGAAGAAGCATACTAGCCTGTCCACTCAGAACCAGACCTTTGCCGCGTCCGCTATTGCCGGATTCTTCGCCAGTTTCCTCTCCCTACCTTTCGACTTTGTCAAGACTCGTCTGCAGAAGCAGCAGAAGGACCCCAAGACCGGTCAGCTCCCCTACAAGGGTGTCTTGGATTGTGCGCGCAAGGTCGTCCAGGAGGAGGGCTGGTTGCGGTTCTACCGCGGTTTCGGAACGTACTATGTGCGGATCGCTCCTCATGCGTTAGTGTCTCCACCTTTGCTGTTAGTGACCTAGTAGTGCCGTTGGCTAACCCCAGACCCACAGGATGGTGACGCTTATCGTGGCCGATTATCT